TGATACTCTTACATTTATGAGGTATATGCCGCTTTTGTTTTCTAAGAGAAGATGAAGCAATTTGTGGTTGGATCTGAGGCTTATAAACAGGGCCTTGTTATTTTTTCAGAGGACCCATGAAAATTTCGTTGGTGGTTCTGTGAAGGATAGTAAGAAGTCTAGACATCAAAATAAAATCTATAATTACTGTAAGAAAAATGGACACATCAAATTTTTCTGCTATAAGTTACAGATTAACAAAAAAATAGCTGCTGCTAATAAGAGGTGACAACAGCGAAAAAATTCAAGTGAATCTTATGTTACAAAAAATAGCAACAATGATGGAAAACGTTTTGGTTATTTTCGATAGTGGCTCTAAAACTAAAGAGGATTGGATTCTTGATACATCTTACCCGTTCCATATGTGTCCATATCCAGATTGATATGCAACATATGAAAATGATTCCAAAGATGATGTGATAATAGGAAATAATGAGCCTTGTAAGATAACTAGTAGATAAGGTCAAAATTAAGATGTTTGATGGGATGATTAGGATACTTGGTGATGTGAGACGTGTTCCAAATTTGAAAAGAAATCTTATTTCCAAGAGTACTCTTGATTCAAAAGGGAGCAAGTACACTGGTAAAGGTAAAATTTTGAAGTTTAGTAAAGGTGCACTCGTTGTGATCACAAATCAGCAGAAATCAAATGCACGGGTAGAATTTGCTGAGTTCACTCTAGTCTAGAATTTAAGGGTAATTTCACTTTACCACTGCCGCGAGCGATGCCACAGTATTTAATTGCTAAAGAACCACCGAGAAGAGATATTGGCCTTCATAGAGGTTTGGCGAGACTAATTTGGTTGCTTATCCTTTGAATGCAACTGAGTTTGAGCAGGTGCTAGACTTGATTGGTATTTGTTGTTGAGTTTACCCTTATGAGCTTTTTGGAAAGGGCAGAGAGTTTTGTTGGAGAATTTTCGTTGAAGAGTTATTATTTTATTCTATTGCAGTGGAATTCATGTCATGATAGAGATTTGTTAGAGTTTGATTGTAATCGAAATCTATTTGCAATTCTATTTGGGAGTTCTATTAGGAGTTGGCAATTGAAAAGGTTAAAGACGTAAGTAAGAAGAAGATTAACATTGAAGACTGATAGCTAGCTGCTCAATAGGCGCTCGAGCAGAAATTATAGTAATATTACCGCTCATTAACTGTTAGGCAAGCATCCAATGATCATAGCACTGCTTGCTAGCCGCGAGGGCGCTGCTCAAGCGATCATGTTATCTAGTGCAATTGGATTTCGTAATTTTTTTAGTTTTTCTCTCGCATTCAATCTCGAATACTCTTTTATTTGTTATCCCTATTATATTAGGACTCCATCTTTTGTCAGACTCATCTTGTACTATATATAGGAGTTATTCTATCTCTTAGGAGAACATCCAACATAATTTATAATGCTTACATATTTTGACATTAGTAAATTTTCCTCATATACCTGTGATTTTTTTTACTAATTGGGTTTTCACTTAAATCTTGTATTAGTGTTATTATTTCACATGTCATATTCTCGTCTTTCAGTTTCAACAAACATCAAAGTATCATAATATGATAAGCTCAATTAAAAGTGATTATGTGGTTCATTTGAATGTGTTTATCATTAGATGCCACGTATACAAATGTAATGTCAATGGTGTAAATAGCATTACTTTTAAATTTTATATGAGAATTTGAGGTATGATAATATTTTGTAAACAATCTACTCTATATGTAGGAACAAGAATTTCGGCATTATTATGAGATCTTGGAAAAGTGAGGAACATGGGAGTTTTGAAATTATTGATAAAATCATGTATTTTTCTTTTGCCGGTTGAGATAATGAGGTTGGCTGGGATAGATCTAGGCATGGGCTACCCCGAACTACTACCGGTGCTTGCTCAAACCCAGATCCAATTAATCCACCATTTTTTGTTGAGTCCATTAAAATTGATTAAACAGCTCGTTCCAACCTAAAAAAGAATAAGTAAGCCTTAATTCCAACAAACAATGAGTCCAACAAAATGAGTAATTGACCCAGCTAGCCCCAAAAAAATTTAAATTTGATTACCAATTTATAACCCAAATTAAACCTAAAACTAATTATGTTTCTAATCCATTATTGCTTCCTCTCCAATCTCCTCGATTGCAACGACGATTCCTCATTCCTCTCCAACCCGGCAAGTGGCGACCAAAGTTCGATCACCTCATAAAATTTCTATAAAATTAAGGAACCCATTACCAAATCAAATATTTAATATCTTAAAAGGGTATGTTATTCCCATGTTGCAGCAGGAGTTGGAACAGGGGCTATGATAAATGATAACTAGTGTCTAATGAGAATTTTCGATTTTGGAGTATAGTTTCATATATTGTGTAACTTGGACCCTTTTTTATATATATTTTTCATTAATATTGATTATCGAGCATGGGCTTTTGAAAAGTCGAAGTTCTCTTGTTTTGGCTTGCAACTTGTTAACATGGCCTGAATTTTTTTTTTTTTTTTTTTTTATAGTGCTTGAGCATTTTTAAATTTTTTGTTTCGAGAATTTGATTGATTTTAATTTTGCCAACTTTTCAATACACACACCTTAGTTAATTAGATTGTGGAGTAAAAGTTCATTCTAAATTGTAATGCAAAATTCCTCTTCATTGTCAACGGGTTTAATCGAATTATTTTCGAATTTCGAAACTGCAATAAATTTTTCAAGGTATCGACGTAGTCCCACAGACATGTAGGAAAAACAAAAGGTTGAATACACCCTAGCAAGTAAATGTCCGCATCTTTCTATTTATTGCCTTGTTGGCAAAATATTGAAATTGAATGTTATTGCCTACTTGTCAAGTTGTCTTGTCAATAAATTAGTTCATTTGCTACCGTGGAAATGTTGCCTTGTTGGCCTGTTGTCCTGTCGGGTCAATAATTATTTTTGTTGCATTATCGACTTAATGAATTATTATTTTTATTATCGTTACACTAATATCGTTGATGATTGATTTTTTATTTTTATTTTTTTTACTTTTTTATTTCAATTTTAAGAAATTGAAAATGGAAGGTTGACCTCCTCTCAAGAAGAATAAGAACTTGTTTTACTTCTTTCAAAGGGTAAATCGATCTACTGAAAGTACAACTTTTGATGAACTAACTGAAGATCGACCTTCATTTCCACCAAAAATCAAATGACATTCATCCTCAAATATTAGCATTGAATGGGAACCGAGGAAAAGAAAGAAGATGCTTGAATTTCCTTTTAATCTGTGAGATGAGACTAGAGTGACATATCTAAAGGTTGGACCTTATCAACCAAAACTTGTTGAGTATCCAAAGACACAATGAAAATCTCATTTTCTCGCTTTTGAGGCAAAATGGTTCAACCAATATTCAGATTTGATTCAATCTCAGTTTGCATTTAAGGCATAACATCATGAGATTAACCAATATTCTTTATCACACCCTTCAAAGAAAATCTCAAGATATCTTTGTGACCTATGGTTGATTATAACTTTAAAATTTTGATTTATAACCAAAAAAAATCAATCTTATTTACTAACAAGTTGAATTTAAGCAATTATAGTTTTTCAAAACACGGGATGAAAAATTGATCGTACTCATCAAAAGATCAAAAGTTATCATCACAATTCGAACTCATGAAGGATGTCAAGATCAAAATCATACATTCAATAATTTAAGAACCAAACTTCGGAGCACGATCAAATATTTAATTTCTTAGATAAAATGTAAAGGTACTAACGCTTTGATATTTGACAATGAATGCTTAAACTCAAAATCGTATTAAAAATAAATTTTGTGCATTAAAAGTCGTTCTAATGCAACGTTTTAATCAAATATAAAAATAACTTTTAAAATTATATTTGAATTCGAAAAATATCTTTTATCTAGAAAAGTTAGTTAAATACATTCAAAAAATCCATGCCTTTAAAAATGTTCAAATCAAATCAAACGGGGTAAAAACATAAAAAGGTCTAAACTACCGACACTCAACCGGAAGTTTTTCAATGGTACAAAATTTGACCGTTTTGAACTCTAATTTTTTACGGAAAATGGCTATATTGGTCATCCTGACAAAAGGCGGTCAACCAGATGATTCATCCGAAATTAAAATTTTTTGACGTTTTGAACTTTGTAAATATTTCCACTTTTTCCATTCTTCACAACAGATTCAAGAGCATAAAGTGAGATTTTTTTGAGAAAATTCTTTGAGTTTTTCTTTGTATTCATTTCATTTATTTCATCATATTTATAATTTCAAACTCCTTAACCATCATCATTCTCAAAGTTTTTCATACCTCTTTTTGTACTAAACTTATTTATGTACATGTAGTGTGGTTCTGGTATCAATTCTATGTGTTCAACAACTTGCCTTTCCACCTTGGAGTAGTCTATTGGCTAGTTTAGGGTACGTAGGACATGTCTTTTACTTAAACTCTTGCGTTTTGTAAAACAATTTCTTGAAAAATCACCTTTAATTTTTATTTAAAAACTAATTTATGATAAACTTTATATCTTAAAAGTGCTTTAAGATGAAATTATATTGGACTAACTTCATTTAAAAGCTCTTTTAATTAAAAGAAACACTTTTATAAATTTAGGCAAATGATTCAAAAATGACTTTTGGATTTCAAAAACTCTTTATGACTTTACAAAAGTCGTGCCAAACAGAAAACAATGTTTCAGATTCATTGAGGTAGCAGAAGGAAAATAAAACATAAAAAATTCATTGAGGCACAACTGAAGGTCGTCCCTTAACTATTCGATAATTGTATCAAATTATTTTGAATTCTGCGTCTGCGTTGTCTTGTCGGTTTATAAGTTCCTAACACTAATTACTTCGGATTTGAATTATCTGATTGCAGAAACTCAAAGCCAAACGGGTAATTCAGAATGAATTGGCAAAAGACTCATACATCTTAGCTCAAACCACAAATGATAAAATTCGATACTCCACTAGAATTTGCAAGTCAGAAGCAGCAAAAATCAATTCAGTCCCACTGAAACCAAATAATCCGAGTACATAAATTGAAAACTGAAATAAACCAAAAAAAAAAAAAAAAGATTTAATCCAAATAGGACAGTGATTATCAGCCCATGTACATATGAACCCCAATAACCAACAAGAAAATGCAAATGAGAGCAAAGTAGATAATAGAATGAACCAATATGGATGATCCACTGGTCTGGAAGTTGCCGAACTCCACGAACCGGTTCCGACCCGGAATCTGAATCAAAAGACCCGGAGTCAACAGAATGAACAGCACCACAGCCACGAAAACTGGACCCCAATCCGGCATCTTGTATATCTATAGAAATAGAGCCAATTTTCTCCAAGGATTTGGCCTGAACCGGAGTATATGAACAACTGCAAATGTTGCTATAAAGGTTCAGGCTTTGCAATGAAGGGATTGGAAAAAGTGAAGTTTACATTGACGATAATGCGGATTGACGCTTTGTGGATTGCTTTATTACGTAGATTTTCGTTTTGTGACAGAGATTGATTTGGATTTTGGAAGCATGTAAGGATCTGGTTGCTTCGGAGATTGGAATACTGGTGCTTACATTTTGTGCATTTCCTCCGTTATCACGTCAATTGATTCTCGGATTAGTAAAAGATTCCACCGCTAATTGCACGTGCTAGCACTTCATTTTTCTGGTGTTTGAGTCTCCATTTTTAATTCGAATCGATACATTACATACATACGATACAAGTACTTCAATGTTTTTGTTTTATATATGGAAAGTGCTATATGTACATAATTGTCTATATAATGGTGTCCATATTTGTCTAATAATATCAAGTCTTAAATTCAAGCATTTTCATTCTCGGAATTTAGCCCTGTTTAGGATATGGCCGAAGAAACTTTAGATCCCATGAAATAAATTTCATATAATTCACTAATTCGAGATAGAAAAGCCAAAAATGTGAAATAATTACCTCCTTTACTTTGCTAACCATCACGCCTCTCACCATACACCCATACTCCCTAATCGGTTATACTCCTATTTATTAGGAGTCTTAAGTGGGACAAGTCGAATCAGTTTCAAGCCAAGCAGCAAAAACCTAATGCGAACCATTCAACGGCTTGTGTGTCGAGCGAGCTAGCCACAGAGGAGCTTGTTGGCTCACATATGAGTCAGCTCGTAATTGGTAACTAAAATATAATTTGCAGTAAAAAATAAAAAAACTAGCGAGCCCTAAGCCAGCTCGCATGCTGGATCAAGCTAAGTCAGACGGTTGTTGAGCCAACGGCTCCAATCCATATAAAACCCAAACTATCGAGCCTTCGTCAATAGACAATCCCTCCTTTCACTCCCTAGTGCCCCCTCCCCTCCTGCACAAGCAACTAGGAGAGGACTTATGTCGTGGCATAATTTGCCTTTTTTTTTCTGTAAGAAATATTTATTTTTATTGAAAAATAAAGGTAAAATTATTTTTTCAATGAAATTCATTATCAGACAATTCATAAATCCAAGGTGCCTTTAGGAACATGGGCACATAGAGTGCTTGAATGTTGTCACCTCGTGTCATAAAGAGTTGAATTTAGTCCCCTAAGGAACACAACCTCGTGTTTAAATGCAATGGTATAATATACAAAATTGTGAGGGATATTACACTGATAATTTGCATACATTATATTCTCAAAACGTATATTTTACGTGCACGAAATCGAACATAGTTTTTACTTACCAAATGAGATTTGAGAAGACAAAATGATAATTACCAAAGTCAAATACGTGACGATGGATCCAATCCTTTCCATTCTTCAAATAAAAGTCATTACATTCATTAATTCAAACCTTACATGAAATCAAACAAATGTTAGTCAATTTTTGAAATCAAATGTGATTGGTAGAGGTAACGCTTTGTCCTTAAAATGAATTTATCACGCATCAGGGCTAATGGTTTTTTTTTTTTTTTTTTTTTTTACAATCTTCTAAGATACATCAGTCACGTTAAGCCACAGGAGCACTTCAAATGGCTTAAACCAACGAACTCGAACAGAATTCTCTATTTACCAAACTATGATTTTTTTGCAAAGCAAATCACTTTTGATGAAGTGTTTTATGCAACATAAAATGAAAATATTGATATGGAATGATATTTGGAGAGTTTTTGCTAGAGGTTCTATGTAATGCTTAATGTAAAAGTGATATAGATTCATTATGGACGTTTAAATGGTCCTATTTATAGAAAATGAGGGGCTGTAAATGAAGTGATGCGTACCGAACCTCGCAACATTACCAAAGAAAGCATTAGTTGCTGTTGCTAGCCTCTTGCTCGAGCACTAATGTAAAAAATTTAACATAAACTTTTTTCCCACTTGCCGCTAGCGTATCCCTCGAGCGACAGTTTCGTTGCTCGTGACACGACTCATCCCGAATCAGCGTAATGGACTCAACACTTGTTGTGCACTGATAGTATATACCAGTTAAGTGTCGAACCCACCATCTGACAAATTTTAAAAAAAAAAAAAATTGATAGAGTTTCTTTTGAAATATGGATTAAAACCACCTAAAATAAAATCAATTTTCTCAAATCAGCATATTTAATATAAAACAGGGTACACCAACTCTGAGAATACCAACTATTCAAAATAAAGTGCACAAAAATGAAATTTACACTTCTGAACAAGTCGAAAGATTCTAAAAACCCAATATAATAAAATATACCAATTATGCAATGAGCCCATGTATCCCAAAAATATGAACTGTATAAACTGACAAAATAAGTCATACATCTGATGAAAATGTGTGGCTCAACTCGGTAGATCAACAGGCTCCAGTGCTACTCAACTCAGCTACTATTGGATAAGAAAAAAAGTGATTAAATATATTATCTAGTAGCTTAGTGAGTGAATATTTGCAAATAAGTATACTTTTTTTCCATTTATGCATAAGTTCTGAAAATTTTTGCTTTATCAAAACTTCGAGGAATTCTAAAATCTAATAATTTCAAACTGTAACATAATTGCACCATAAAATTTTTTGTCCTTTATTCTAGATAAGTAGCTTTAAAGTGTGACGAATATAAATAATTTGATATCTATAAAATATTATTGTTGTTCAATACTATTAGCAGGAATCTTTATTTTGAGAACTGAATAAACTAAATTCTATAATTTGAAATCTGATAAGCTGTAGAATTACTGAAAAATCACACCAAAAAAGTACCCGAAATAACCTTACTCATGTATTAGTTAGTACCAAAAAAGCTATTCAATTCTGTAATTCTGGTCATGGGTGGGCAGAACTGCTCGAAGGCTGCGATCTGGTTATACTCTTTGGAAGCACATTGACAATAGTATAGAGCGGGTAAAATCACCATAACTGATCATATATTGTAGAAACACATTCACACCAATGCAGAGGAGGTAAAATAACCATATGTAGTCATACACTGTAGAAACACATTCACACCAGTACATATTAGGGTAAAATCACCTGGATACTTTCTGATAGTTTTAAAAATAACTTTAAATATGATTAAATATTTAATATTCATATAACAGGCAAATTAAATGATTTAACTGAATTGAATTTAACTTTAAAAATAACTGATTACAAATCCATTTTATTCTGAAAATCATGCTTTCATATAAACTGTATAAAATAATAAATTTTATGATATAGTATAAATTTAATAAATAATAATTTATAAAAAAAATAAGCTTTTATCCTCTCACTCAAGACAAGCTACTAACTATGATGGTTGATAAGTTTTCTCAATCTTTTCGTCACTACCTCTTTTCCTTTTCTTTCTTTCTTTCTTTCTTTCTTCCTTCCTACTTTTTCTCTTTTCTTTATCTTTTCCTTCCTTTCTTTCTCGGTTTTTTTGCTCCTCTGCGTGTGTGTGTGGGGAACCACCAATGAAAATGGTTTTATTTGGAATATAATAAGTAGCACTAACTCTAAATTGCAAAGGAAGTCCCTCATCTTCCTTATAATATAAAATTAAATCCTAAACTTCCAAAAATGTATAAATAGATTCTATAGTTAACTTTTTATCCATCTTAAGCCCTTAAGTATTTTCAATTGTAAAATAAACTCCGAAAAAATAATTTATTTTATTTTAGTCCCTATTTGACTATGACTTTAACAATTTAACTATTAATTTTTTACTAAAAAAATTGGGTTGTAACAGCTTGAGCGATAGGCGAGCGATAGAATTAGGCAAAAATTCAAGCCAGTTTGTCCTCTATTTTTCTTCTAGTTTTTTACCGCAATTTCTCATTCATCCAGAATTAGTTTTGAGATTCTAAATATACCGCAATGATCTACTCACGAGTAGAACAAATTAGTCTATTTATATTTGTAATTTGACCATCGAATCAAGTCCGAAAATTTGGCAGAAGTTGACACGAAGTCACTTTTTCCACATTTTTGGTTTTAACGCTTAACCAATTTTCCTTCAACTTTAAATCAATTTCTAACAATCCCCCATATGAATGGAATGCCAACACTAGTAAAGAGAGAGCTAAAAAAGACACTGCATCAGGTAATGTAGCTTTCGACTTTGAACCTTCCTTAATGAAATACTATCGGACTTACTTAACTAATTGGTGGACGTGATATCTTGGACCATTCAGTAGTTAGTGTAAGCCAAGATAACAATACTCATACAAATGTCTTTCCCAATCCGTTCATGGTTATCATGAGTTAGTTCATTTTAGCCCTAAACCGCTCATGGTTTCATAAATGTTTAGAGAATTTTAGCCTCAAACAATTCTCATTGAAACTGCCCCCTTCGTATTTGCATAGGTGATCTCTTATTAAGAGTATTCTACCCTACTTCACTTGACTTAATCAAGATATAGAATCATTAAAAGATTATCCTTACCTCTGATCATTCTACAGAAAATACTTTAATATCATATGAATGAGTTACGAAATAATTTCCTAAGTGCTTCATTGAATAGGAATTCAATGACTAAGTACTTAGTTAGGAATTCCCTGACTAAGTATTTTGCAGTACTCCACTTGCCTTAATCAAGATATAGGAATCATTAAAAGTTTGCATCTCATTATGTACCAAAGTCAACACATAAACCCAGATACAACTTACGTGTGTAAAATGTGTCAAACCAATAATTCTTGCAGCAATATACCAATTTAATTGGTTCCAAAATATTCTCCAAATTTTTCAATTCAGATTTTCAAAACTTTGAGTTCTTTGGCACATTAATATATGCAAATAATTCTACGTGAACCGTGTTCCAAAAGATTATTTCTTCACTTAAGAAATGTCGTATCAAAACTTTTTGTCAAAGATTGACACGAAGCAACTACTTTATCCAAACAATACCATAAAAGTTCATATATTTTCAATCTTTGGATCTCTTACAACGACCACTTCAAGCCATAGGAACACTCCAAATAGCTTAGACCAACGAACTCGGATAGAATTCTCTCTTTACCAAATTATGAACTTTATGCAAAGAAAAACACTTTTATGAAGTACTCTATGCAACATAAAATGAAAAGAACAATACGGAATGATTTTTTTGGAGACTTACTGCAAGAGATTCTATGCAATTCTTAATGCAAAAGCAATCTGGATTTATTATGGACGTTTAAAGGGTTCTATTCATAGAGAATGAGGGGTTGTTGACGAAGTCATGGGTACCAAACCTCGCAACTTTCGAGGGAAGCGTCAGTTGCTATCACTAGTCAGTCGCTGACCTCTCGCTTGAGCATAAATGTCAAAATTATAACAGAAACTTTTCGCCTGCCTATTGCTAGCCTATCGTTCGAGCGCCGAAGTTAGGCAAAAATTCAAGCCAATTTTTCCTCTACATTTTTTAATTTTGGAGCACAATTTCTCATCCCGAATTGATTTTGTGATTCCAAATATACCATGATGATCTACTTGACGAGTAGAACAAATTAATTTATTTACATTTGTAATTTGACTATTGGATCACGTCCGAATATTTGGCCAAAATTGAAACAAAAGTCACTTTTTCAACATTTTTGATTTTAACACTTAACCAAATTTCCTTCAAATTTAAACCAATTTCAAACAAAAACAATCCAAGTGCTATAGATACTTAAATTTAGGAGCACATCAGAAAATTGGAAACGAAATAGGTTGTTTAACATATAATAAAAATAGATACATGAACTGTCATCATGTGAGGATTTTCTGAACTATTTGCCTCGAACTCCTAAAAAGCAGTTTTGAAAGAGAGATATGGCAAGTATGTGATAGAAGAAGTCCATTTTGCATAACAAAAAATTTAAAAGTGTACATCTCGACTCATCCAACAATTTTCCCAGACAAGCTTCAGAAGTCTATGTAAAGAATTCATCCAATCTCAGCTACAAACTAGAATGGAAACACCATGGCAACTGAACGAATAAAATAAGAAAGGGATAATTGCGGTAAAAGCCCCAAACATTTAAAATACTAGCAGACTTTCATCAAACATTTTATTTGTTAAAGTCAACTTGCCTTTTGTCCCTCAAAAGAATCAAATGGAATCATCAGCAAGCCTCCTAAACCTCAAAATCAAAACCAGAAATTCCATCACCACCCCCAATTATATGCCATCGAACCCTAAATTCCACTCACCCATAGATCCATTCATAAAAATTTCCTAGAATTCCAGTCGCACATATAATATACTTACATTATATTGAGGTATACAATCAATTTTCAGGGTAATCAAATTATGCATGGAAGTAAGGAATAAATGTATTTTAGTTTTAATTTGGGATTTGGGGTGGGTGATGGAGGTTGTTCAGTGGCAATTATGATGAGGTGGATGGTGGTAGCCAGTGGTGGGTGGATAGCGGAGGTAGAGGTAGCAGCCGTCAGGCAAAGAAATCCACATGACAGATGAAAATCCTACATGGCCACTAGCGATGTTAAAAGTTGACAGGTGGATAAAAATAATTTCAAAAATAACGTTTTCTTTCAAGAAATTGAAGAATCGCTTTTCCTTTCTCCAATTGTTTATTTTTTCCCACTCTTCCCCTTGCAAACCTAATCAATTTTCTCCCAAATCGTATGTGTCCCTAGATTCTTCATCAATTGAATCCCAAAGAAATTTATGTAACATGTGTGTATTATATATTCGATGCTTTGGTGAGTGGGTAAGTGGGATCGTTGACATGGCAGAATCTCTCCATCTCTATTT